CGCCAAAAATCTTTCGACAGTGAATGAGGATTCATGATGGCGGTAATGGGGGACGAATGACCAACAAGAAGTCCGATTTTTTTTCTTGTCGATAATTCCAAAACGGTAAGGTTTCTTCATAATTAAATTGTTAATTTGAGTTCAGCATGTACATTTGCACGGAATTATGACGATTTTGGAAACATTTGAACTTGAAGGGATATTAGCGCTCGGGAAACAAAATAGAAATTTATTTACCCGAGAATGAATGTCTCAACTTTCTCCCTAGATTTATGTCTTAACTTTGTTATGAATTACAAAGACATGGTATTAATTTTATCATTAAAGTTTCAATAAAATTTACTTGTTTCTTAAAAAAATACTCACTTTGCTAAATGTAGTAGGTGAAAAATGATCTCTTCTGATTGTACAAATCCAAACATCATAATTCTTTCTTTAGCGAAAAAGACATGTAATTTACGGCTGTTTTTATAATTCCCTTTACAATTTGGTACAACGCATCTATAAGGCATTGTTTTTTTTTTTTTCTTCTTTAAATTAATTCAATATTTAAGAGAAAATATTAATAAATAATTTTAAAATACCGCCGTAAAAAATCTGATACACAAAACAAACGACACGCTTCTTGAAAGGCGGACTCAATATGATGACGTCACAACTGAACCCCTTTTCTTAAAATTTAAACTAATAAAAAAGAAAAATGGATAATAGTAAATTGAAAAAGTTTTTCAAAAAAGTTCAAAATAAAATATTTTCATCGGAAGAAGAGGAGGGGTTGATCTGAAGATCTACAATAAAAAGACAAAATATGTAACTTTTTCCAATGCTACATTAATGAAAAATGACATAAGAATTTTTTTCAAATAAAATTAATGTCATAATTAAATTCAATAAATCGAAATTATGTTACCACCATTCTTAAAATCAAGTCTTAAAGATCAGGTCATTGACCATGTAACTTAGTAAATATGATGAATAAAATCAGTTTGTGTATTTTTTTGTCTTCCACAAATAAATCAATACCTTGAGACAACACCATGGACAAACCAAACTGTTGTTTGTGAAAAGCACAACCCAGAAATCCATCATCAGTATTTGATCTTTTGTCATCAAGTGTATTACGTAGTCCTAGGCACCTCCACTTTTTCGCGGAAAACGGCATAGCGTATCAAAAATGCCACAAACTTAACGTAAATCAAGTTTTATCGTAAAAATGCTTATGTTATTATTAAGATGAAAGACCAAAGTATTTTTTAATTATTTTTTGAAATTTTTTATTATTTTCTAACACGTTCGAAATTTTGGTTAAAATCTTCTTTTGTTTACGTCATCGCGGTGCTGTTAAAATAACATTGTTTTTTTTTTGCGCTTTTTTGCCGTTGAAAACACATTGATTTGGAAATTCTTGTAAAAATCAAGTAATTGTCCGATTTTAATGAAATTTTCAGGGCTTATTCACAAATGAATGAAATTATGTTTGAAATATTTCTTTCTAGAAAATTTTGGTAAAAAATTTTTTTTTTTTTAAATATGTTACACTCCACTTACTTATTTTCCTGAAATTTCGTTCAAAACCTTTTTATTTCCTGACAATTTTTTTTGGTTAAAGTAAGAGTCATTAGAGATGGTAAATCACCTACTCTTTTTTTTCAAACTTGCGCTAATTAACTAAAAATCTGCTCTGAATTGAAAAATAATGAATCCAATAAATCTATGATATTACTTAATTATAAAAGCTTTTAATTGCTTTTGTAAATAAGTAATTAAGGTCATTATTGCCTGAAGAAATAAATTTTTTCTGATGAATAATTAAATTTTACAAGAATTTTTTCATTTGTTTTACATTTTAATTATAATAATTTATAATAGTTTAAAAATCGTGCAAAATTCTGTATTAGCCTATTTCCTTGTGATAATTAGTAATTAAGTAGAAACAAAATTTACAAGTTCAAAATTGCAAAGTATAATAAACTTAGTGGTGCTAATTTTTTTTCATATATTTTTTTATGTTGTATTTTTTTACTTAATACGTTCCGTATTTCCATGTACAGTAGACTGAAATTGCCATTATTATAAAAAGAGTTTTGTCCCTTTGACCAAAGCTAAAAAAAAAAAGCGTTTACTCAGATTTCTAATAATTTTCATTTATGGTCATCCGTAGTAGCTGTCATCACTCGTCAATCAACACGTAGATCAAGTATTGGATAAAAATAACAGTACCAATCGTTAATAATTGGTTATATATTACTTTTTTATGCAAGAAGTAAGTAATATTTCTTTTAAATCAGATTAATTTAACATTAAATTTTCTAATTTTACTAAAATAACGTGTCAGAAACTTTTTTAAATATTTTTAAAATCGATAAATTTGTGTTTGTTTACAAATTTCTTAAAATTAAGAAAATGGCGGGAATTACGAAAATTTAAAATTCCAAAATTAAATTTGACATTCCAATGTATATAGTTTCTATCTGAAATACACCAGAATTGATTACTTAATGGAAATAATAAATTTAATGATTAAACTTTCAATTAAAACTAAAATTAAATCTTCAAGCATGTTTTTTCATTTTTTAAATTTATTTTAAAGTTAGGTATCGGAAATTTTGCCGAAAAAAAGTGGAGAAAAAAACCAAGAACAGTAAATCTGCTTTTTAACACCCGCGCTAAATATCTCTTAAAATTTTCCCAAATTGTCATAATTCCGTATAAATGTACAAGCTGAACTAGAATTAATAATTAAATTATGAAAAAAATCTACTGTTTTGGAGTTATCAACAAGAAAAAATCGGACTTTTTGTTGGTCATTCGTCCACCATTACTGTCTACTGTTTAGTAATTTACTGACAATTTACTTCTTTTACAGACGTTCAGTGCAAGAAAACACTACGCACTACCGTGAAGCAATGACAAATTAAAAGAACAAATTAAATAAAGTTTAGTAGAGTTTTAGGTGTTAAGGTTAGTGGTTTTGTTTGGCTTCTTTATGCGTAGAAAAGGGAACAAATTTAAAAAAAATTAAATAATACAATAAACATGGTTAAGTTCAGTTAGTAGTTGTGTTTGGCTTCTTTCTATGTAGAAAAAAAAGGGAACAAATTAAAAAAAAATACAATAAACCGGGTTAAGTTTTTAACGTTTTGGGGTTGTTTGGCTTCTTTCTGGGTAGAAAAGGGGACAAATTAAAAAAAAAAATAACATTACAATCAACCCTTATTTCGTTTCTACTTTACCAAGTTTAAAATATAAAAAAAAAAATATGCTTCATATTGTATTATTTAATTTGTTCTTTTTGTTATGCTACACAGAAAAAAAAAGGTAAATTTTTTGGTTTTAACACCCGCGCTAAATATCCCTTAAAATTTTCAAAAATCGTCATGTAAAAGTACATGCTGAACTCAAATCAACAGTTTGTTCCTGCTTGTTCCTTTCTAGCATTTTTTAAAAAATTGTCATTATTTTCATATACATGAAACTTTTACCTTGTTGTTTTACAATTATTGTTTTATTTTCAATTGTAAAAAATAAAAAAAATGATTTATTGTACTACTTTGTTCTTTTTTTTGTTATTTTTAATTTATAAGTAATTTCATATACAGTGTAACCCGGATATAAGAGAAACCCGGATATAAGAGATTTTCTCTGGTCCCAAATTAGAGCCTGTGTTTAGTTACTGTTAATGTATATAAAATAGACCAAACCCAGATATAAGAGACGTCTTCATCACTTGTCTTAATATAAGTGATGACCGTCTTTTTCCCCCCAACCCCCTTTTGGCCTTGTGCCACATTTGTTGTTTTTTACGACAATAAATATTAGTGTAAACCCGGATATAAGAGAGTTGTCGGGACCGGAGAAGAAGTCTCTTATATCTGGGTTTGGTTACATTAAACACAGGCTCTAATTTGGGACCAGAGAAAATCCGGGTTTCTCTTATATCCGGGTTACACTGTACTGGAAAGTTAACTTTCCTCCTGTTAACACTTATCCACCCCCACAAAAAAATTCCTCATCTTAACACTTATCCCCCCCACCCAAAAAAAAAATTACTTTATTTTTTTTTTTATTTATGAATATTTTCATATATTTGAAAGTTAACTTCTTAAAAAATTAAAACTACACATATTAAAAAAAAAAAAAATCGCTTTACGGAAGTGCGTACTGATTTCTGCAAGGAAATTCTGTAAAAGAAGTAAATATGCCAAATTTTATGACTCCGCCGCAAAGTGTACCGCAGTGAATTACTTCTAAGCAGGTAATGGCAGACGAAAGAGCAACAAAAAGTCCGATTTTTTCTTGTCGTTAACTCCAAAATGGTAGGTTTCTTCATAATTTCCTTGTTAATTTGAGTTCAGCATGAACATTTACACGGAATTATGATGATTTTGGAAAATTTTAAGGGATATTTAGCGCGGATGTTAAAACCAAAATTTACCGAAAAAAAGTTTTATTGTATTATTGAATTTGTTTTTGTTTAAAGTTTTCTGTTATAAATAAAACTACACTTATAAAAGTACGTAATGATTTTTTTTTCACCGAAAGTCTGTAAAAGAAGTAAATTGGCCGGATGTATCCAGCAGTAAATTACTAAAAACAGTATGGCGGTAAGCGCGGGTGTTATAAAGCAAATTTACCCTCGGCAAATATTTTGTTGCACCTGTTTTAACAGGACGTTTTTCTTATTACGAAAGATTTCACACAGTTTTTCGTCACAGTTGACCTTCAGGAAACACAGTATTAATGCTAACAAGACATCTGCTATTTGTAACTCATCAATAAACGGGAGACTATCTACTCCACAGAGAATAATTAGAAAAGAACCTGTAATACGCAAGCATTATATTTTTTCAAATAGATCATGTTTCCAGAATTTGTCATCAATACAAAATGCAACTAACGTGCGACAAATAAAACTAGGAAATGTACACATCTGTAGTGGCAGCTTTCATTCAACTCCCCCCCGATATGTGCATCCACTTCTTTGGATGGTCGTGAAGCCTATGGCTAAACTGATTGCATTGTTTGGAGGCAGGTAGGTCATAAGGGTTATAGTCGGTGTTGCTCTTTTTATTTTAAATGCCGTTCAAATAGATTAAGTAAGCATTTTATGCACTATTATTAACCCGTAAGTTATAACGGCTCTGATTGAGGAATCGGAGAGCCGAGTTCGAATTCCAGTTGAATCCATTAATAATTATAATACATTCATTTACGTGTTAATTAATACCCTTGAGAAAGGTATGAAGAATCCTCTTCTACCTCTGCCCGCCAGCTATGGGTAAAAATAGCAGGACAGACCGGGTTCTCCAGCCTTAGATGGCAACTGGTCTACTGCAGAAAAAAATCGAAAGTTACATGATCACGCATGGCACATATAACTGACTGAAATTATGAATGTACATTATTGTACATTATTATTTTGTAATTGTATCTAAGTTCTTTGAATTACCCATATTTAATTTAATTTTGTTTTAAACTTCTGATTGAACTTGAATAAAGACAAAAGGAAAATTTTCTTTACCGACGCGTTTCGTCATCTGATGGCAAATGTAAGGATTTTATTTGGCAAAATTATAACAAGTAAAATATCGTTAGGTTTTAAAAATTTAAGAACACTGGTAAATCTTCTTCACGTCAGGCTTAAAAAAAGTACGTCAAGAGGATAAAGTAATAATAATGGTAATGGAATGCCTAAAAAAAAGTAAAATGTTATTGTTGAATTTTTCTTTTCTTATTTGTTTACAGTTTTGTTTACTTTATCGTTTTAAATTTAATTTAATAAATTATTTAAATTTTAAGTAATTATAGGTTTTGATTTTTAACCGTTTCCTTTTAATTTTTTAAGGTTTAATGCCAATGGTCATGGTCATCTTTGTTGTCTTGGGGAAAGGATTCTTTGTTTTTTTAAGGAAAAGAAATATTTGAAAAAACCGTGGGAACTGTCCCAAGAACTTTTCGGCTAAGTAATTTTAAAGTTATTTTCTTTTTTACTAAGTGTGGCATTCTTTAACTTTCAGAATTATCTGTTAGATCGATTTACTTGTATTTTTGCAATTCCAGAAATGCAAAAATGTGACATTTTTTTTAATATCGAATAATAAATGCACTATGAGCGAGACTAGAATTAAACAGTAACACACACGAGTCATGGTCGTACGTACAAGAAAACGAAAAAAAAAAACAAAGTAAAATTAGTGATCAGATTGTGATTGGTATGAGTTTGAATTTGCTACAGTTTAAAGGTTTTTATATTAAGATGGTTAGTTTACGGGTATGTTCACCATATTAATCCACAACAATATAGAACATAGACATTCAAAAACGAATCAATCACAAGGCAATTGAGTAAGAAACACCGATTATGAGATTTCAATAAAACAACATGCATTTTTATGTACAATTAATTTGAAAACTTGTAGTTTGATAATGCAAGACATTGACCATTGATAAATTGGGTTTCTTATTGATTTACAGTTCGAAATTGTTCAAGTCACAAGTGTTTAAGAACTGGTCAGAGTTTTAAGTGGAAAAAATTTGTGTAGTTTGTGTGCATGAATAAAGTAGGGTTTATTGTCTAAATTCTCCAGAGTTGTTTACCTTGGATTGTTTAGATATTTGATTGAATATTTACGAATTACTTGTTAGTAGTGAGTTATCATCACTTTTTTTAGTATTGTAAGAAATTGTGCCTGGTAGAGCGAAATGCTGCGTGTGTTGAGTCAGAGAAATTTGCGCGGCAAAAATGTGGCTGATGTAGATGATTTTGACTGGCGTGGATTCGTTTGGCACTTCTACGAAATCGTTAAAAAAAGAGCATAGTCTGATGAAAAAGACGCCAAACTTTACGAAAACAAAATTTTATCGTCTAAAATGCTTGTTATTATGAAGAGGAAAGACCAAAGTTTTTTTTAATTATTTTAAAAAATTTTTCCTTCTTTTTAGAACATTCTAAATTTTGATTTAAAAAAAAAAAACCTTGTTTCTCTTTGTACCAACCGGAACGAAAATAACATGTACAATTTTTTAAAATTTTTAGCACGTTTTTTTTTTTGTATGACACACATTAATTTGGAAAATCTTGCAAAAATAAAAATAATTGTCGGATGTTAATGAAACTTTCAGAAACTATTCACAGATGATCGAAATTTTTTTTTTTTTTTTTTTTATTAAAGTCATGGCAGAAATTTTTTTTTTTATATATTTATTACCCCCACACCATAACTAATTTTATGAAAACGCTAGAAATTCGATCGCATCGGGTTTAGTGATTAAAAGCACAAGGCTTCGTGTTTTTGTTTTTTTTTTTTTAATTGGACCCCACGTACCTGAAAATCAGCTCTGAATTGTAACATAAAAAACTCAATAAAACAGATATTATTAAATTTAATTTCAAATGCTTTTTTTTTAGTTGTTTTTATGAATATGGACAATATTTTCTGAAAGCAAAAAATTTTTTCAATGAAAATTGAATTCTTGATACAATTAATTATTTGTTATTTCTTTAATTATAATAGATTTTTACATTAAGTTGTTAAAATATTATAAAATTAGTTAAAAGCCGCATTGGGTTTCCTAAGTGTCCTTATGAGAGAGATCATTTTTTTGCGCTTTGTAAATTGTATCGTTTTGACCAATCAGAAGATCCGCAGTAATTAAGAAATGTAATTTTGTGTTCATAAAAATCATTAAAATGGCTGTAATTAAAAAGTACGGAAGGTCTCAAGCAATAAAACATCACATGGCTTGAGTGTAAGTGTTCTCCGCTGAATGTCGATTATGTTATTGCAAATTCTTTGTGCGAAACACATGCTGAGCATTTTGAATTAGTGTTTTTTACTCATTAAAAAAATTTGAAGCCATTTTCACCATCAACATTACTACATTTTTAAAAGTACCATTTATTTCATTTACATATTTCATTGCAATTTCAATTTTTTGAAGTTGTTTTACAGTTTTCAGTGAGTCGTCTTTATTTCAATTTTATGTGAATTTCTTATTTTAAACAAACTGTTTTCAGTTCTATCCTTAAGTGTTGTTGTCATCACCCTGCTCAAAAGGTGTTAAAAAACAAAAAATACATCAAGCCATTATTCAAACATAGATTAAAAAAAAAAAATGGGATTTTTTACAAGGTGATGACAGCTTGGTATTGTTGGCTGGCTGGCCTTTGACCCAGATTAAAGATTTTGGCCAAGATCCTGCAGGAGTGTTTGCAGTCAGTTGCCGAGTCTCTGTTGGGACCTGAGCAGACTTGTTCTGTGAGGGGCTGAACAATTCAGAGCAACCTGCATCTGATCCGCACGATCATAGAGAGTATAAAAGACGACGATGAGGCCGTGCTGATCAATTTGGATCAGTCCAAGGCATTTGATAGGGTTGACCATTGCTACCTTGCTACTGTCCTGCAGGCTGCCAGATTCGCACCCGACTTCTGCTGCTAGATTAGCCTCTTGTATCACTCCCCCAGTGCTGTGGTACAGGTGAACGGGAAGCTGTCAGTTGCTTTTGCGCTGTCTAGGTCGGTCTGTCAGGGTTATCCACTGTCGCCCCTACTTTATGCTTTGGCATTGGAGCCTCTCCTTCGCCAGCCAAGGGACAGGGCGTGCAGTCCAGCCCTACACGGAATCACCATTTCCTGGCGGAGCTTGAGCCAAGGTTTCTGCATACGCTGATGACGTATCTGCTTTCGTGTCGTCCCGCAGCAACATTGAGGCAGTACTGAAGGCGCTTGATCGATATGAAAAGATGACAGAGGCCAAGATTAACCGCGACAAGTTGTCCGGCTTGCATTTAGGTGCCTGGAAGGGAGTTGATCTTCCGGGGCCCTTTGGTTGAACAGACGTTCCTGTCCGCATTCTTGGAGTGTGGTTTGGACCCGACCTCCAGCTGGAGAAAAATTGGTCTGAAGTACGAGCAAAGGTCAAATCGGCCGGTCAGACTTGGCGTCGACGGATGTTGTCCATGAAAAGCAGGGCAAAGGCATGTACCACTTACGTTTTCCCAATTATCCTTTATCAGTTGTCTGTACTTCCTCTCTGTGATGACCATAGAAAGCCGCTCAAGGGAATCTGGTCGACAGACGAGTCTGTGCACAACATACGTATCATGGGGGACTGGGAATGCCTCGAGGTTGGTTTTCCTACACTGTGCATTGACAGGTGATTCGATGACGGCAGGGATTGTTAGGGATGCATTCCCTTTCCTTACTATCAGTCCCCCCATCTCGCGGGTTGAGCACCATCGTAAACACCGGCATCAATCGAATTTCCTTCGAGTGTTGGTCAGTCTTGTTGGCCGTTCCTCGGTCCAGTGACCTTTCTCGGCCTAGGAAGGTCTTCTATTGTCTGTTAGTGGAGGGGATCGCGAAGGATTCCCTACATGAGGAGCTCGACTTGTCAGAGGAGGAGTTTCACTCTTACTGGTCTTGGGCGTCAGCATTGGATTATCTCAGCAACCCTGAGTTTTCGCTTACCTGGCGATTGGCTCGGAATCGGCTTTCTCTCAATAACAAGGTCTTCATATGGGGCTTGGCGGAATTGCCAGACTGTGAACGGTGTGGCCTTGGTTTAGAGGAAATGGCTTCGCACGCCTTCTACCATTGTCCCCGAGTCTGCCCCTTTATGAGTCCATGTTGGCGAGTTGATGGCTTGTCTCACTCCTGAAAAGCTAGTGCCCATTGATCGCGCATACGCATGTGACAATGTGTCGCCCCTGTACTCCGGGGTGAAATGGATGGTGTTTCTGACACTGCTAGCCACGGCCCAATGGTGATTTGGACAACGCGACAGGAGGAAGTCTTGCAGGGTATCCGTCTTTTTCATCAGGATCTGATCCAATTCTTTGAGCATCAGCTCAAGATGAAGATCAGAACTGATAGAAAACACTTGCATTCGACAGTCTTCAGCGAAAGGTGGGTGACTAAGGCGAGCTTGGTTCGTTTGAATGGGGCTAGCCTTGATTTTCTCTTTTAGGTCAAGCCTATGTCACATCAGGGTGGTTTCCTGTGGAGCCCTCCCCTTCGTTAGGTTAGAC